ACGCAGACAAAGGACACATGAGGGTGCTAAGAGACACAAAAGGGGAATCTAAAGAGGGATGGAGGACATCAGGAGACACATGGGGAAAGACGCAGACACAGACCATGACATCCACGGAGTGGCACAGCATTTCTGAAGCCGTCAATGTTGTAAATTCTTCAGAGAGATCTGTGGCGGATATAAACAAAATGGTCCAACCGGGATTCGATCCCCAGATTTCCAGGTGAAAGTCACGAACACTAACCAGGCAGCCAAACGGAGATCTCCCCTGTACAGGTAGCCAGGGCGCATGATCAATCGAGTCACAGTGACAGGACACACTGTCACAGACGTATGACATTCTGTTTCAATCTGTCTCCCTGCTGATATTCTGCATTTCGTATTCTGTGCTTCAGGCTGTGTGTGTGTGTGTGCGCGCGCGTGTGTGTGTGCGCATGCGTGCTTGCGTGTGCATGTTGGGGGTCTTGTTCTGTGTGAAAACGAAGCAGTACAAGTGATAATGCTGCAGGATTTCATAATTTTATCCTTCTCAGCAGCAGCACTGCAGGTGTTCTCCATGTCCAAAATGTGCTTAAGCCAGGTCCTTTGTCGACTTAAAGTTGCGCACATTTTTCCGCTAAGTTTTCTTTGATAAATCCCAAAGTTTGCGTGGAAAGTTGCTTACGCAGTTTTCCGACCCTGTTTTGTGCGTAAGCAAGCTTGATAAATGAGGCCACAGGTCTTTAAGGCCTTACATTGACAAGCACCATCATACATTGGTGATCTTCTCAGTCCCTACACCCCCAGGAGGTCCCTGAGGTCCAGTGACCAAAGCCTACTGGTTGTGCAGCACACCAGGCTAAAGACCAAAGGTGACAGATCATTAGCTGCTGTGGCCCCCAGACTCTGGAACTCTCTCCCCCTGAGCCTGAGATCAGTGGACTCAGAGGTCTCCTTTAAAAAGCAGCTGAAAACTCTTCTGTTCAGGCTGGCCTTGGTGGACTTTCATCACCACCCTCCTTATTCTGCTCTTTCTACCAACTCCGCCTTTTAGCTGGATCCACTGAACCATTTTCTCCTTCTTGTTCCTCACATTCTCTTTAATCATGTTTTTTTTATTTTTCAGAATTTTCTGATATTTAAAAAACATTTTAAGAATCTGTAAAACTTTTTTAAAATTTGTTTTTGTGAAGCGCCTCGTGATTTTTATCTTGAAAGGCACTATATGAAATATTGTTTTCTTTCTTTCTTTCTTTCTTTCTTTCTTTCTTTCTTTCTTTCTTTCTTTCTTTCTTTCTTTCTTTCTTTCTTTCTTTCTTTCTTTCTTTCTTTCTTTCTTTCTTTCTTTCTTTCTTTCTTTCTTTCAAGTCTCTGCCAGTGTTGCTTTGTTTAGTCAGATGATCAAACCTTTTGGAAAACCTCATAAACAAAATGTGCACCAACCTCTTGAGATTCAGTAGCACCTGCTTGCTAGTTCACCTTTCAAGGGATTCAGAACTTTTACTCTGACTTTGATACATCCTCACAGACACTTTTAACACATTTCATTACTGCTAATCTTAATCCTTAATCTTTACTTTTTCTGTTGTATCTTGATATTTGCTTTATAAATCAAACGTTTTATTATTATTATAACATTTCTAATTATTAATTTTATTATCAGCTATGACTGGAGTAGTTGGATCTGAAACTAGACATCTGCCCGTCCTCATAACAGTACCAACACACTTCCTATTATCCATGTCAGGGTGTGCAATTAGTGGAGTGAAGTCTATTGTCCCCTGGCCTTTAGTCAGAAATCATTGGTGCTTTAATGGCAGAAGGTCATCTGGTGTGTCTGACATGTTCCCCTCCAGCCGTCCATACTCCCACTGTCTGGGTCATCCTTTGCCCTGCCAGCTTTACTGCCCAGTCTCTCCAGCACATCCAGCCTAAATATGTCCCCCATGTGTGTCAAGTAAATCAGTCCCTTGGCGCTGGCTGGCTCAGAGAGGCACCTAAGGAAGATGAACAGAATCATAAAGCACCACTACGGCCGGACTTTTTATAGCAGCTAATGTTGCTTTTATGTACTGCTGTGAGTGTCGGGCTGTGAGCGTCAATAATCTGATCTAACTTTGACTTTACTGATCTTATGTGCTTTATTTCAAGATTTAAATTCTGGGGAGGAAATTGGTTGGTTTGTGGTCGAAAGGTTCACGTGGAGGGCGAGTTAGAGATCGTGTTTTACCGTATCTCTTATTTAGCTGAAGATGAAGCACAAGTTGTTCCACAGCAGTCGCAATCTGAAATATTTATCCTCATTGGCGTATTTTCTCTGTTTATCTAAAACGTATAAAAGGAAAGCATGAATGAAGGAACTCATTTGTTTTCCTTGGTATTTTTGGTGACAGATTTCTTGCTGTTCTCTGATTCAGAAACTCACACAATACTTTTTTCTTTCGTTTTACTTTTGTGTACATTTGTCACATGAATTCACAACCTATATGTGAGTTCATATAAAACACAGAGTTGAGCTGGATAATCATCTCTCACACACCAACAGCAGACAATTTCCTGTGGCTGCATCTGTCGTTTATTTACAAGATAAAACATCAGCTCCGTCACACAGAGCCTCATCGAGCATTGTGTTCTTGCTCAGCTGCATCCTGACATGAGGTGGTACAGTGCAGCCTTCTAAGCTGTCCGGCCTTTCGTTGTTCCTCCCACCAGCAAACTCCTGCTGCTTTCGTAACTTTTTTCTCATCGCTGCCTCTTCCCCACTCTTCTTTCTTTCACTCCCTCTACATTGAAATTACCTCTGCTCTTTTATTCCCCTTGGACTGGGTCCCACATGTCCTCCTCTTATGTCTCCCACACATTTTGCTTTTTTTTCTTATCTGTCTCCTCCTCCTCTCTTGCTCTCATCTTACTCCTATCAGCGGCCATCCAGGCAGCAGGATTTCCCCTGTGACGGAAACAGGCTGTGGTCTGAATGTATTGTTTCAGCAGTTCTCTTAGGCTGGTCTCTGTGCCTGCTTTTGAGTCAGAAACGTATACTTTTATACTGGACAAAGTAACTTTACACATCAAGAAACTAGTGAAATTGAGCATAAAAACCTTCTCTTTCATGTTTAATGGATCATGAAGGCAGGATGGCAGAGTGAGCGAGAGACAGGTCGATGAACATCGAGACAGAACTCACACACAGTGGTCTCTCCTGGTGTGAGCAATTATTATTTCAGCTGTTGTGTGAAGGAAAAATGCACCCAGATGTGTGTGTGTGTGTGTGTGTGTGTGTGTGTGTGTGTGTGTGTGTGTGTGTGTGTGAGAGAGACTGGACTTTACTGTAAGCAAACACACACATATGCACTCAACCGAGTGTGTGCTCCCAACCTAGACACGATTGGTCTCCAGAAGAAATGTTAAATTTAGAGGAATTATTAATCTTTGATTTATTTCACTACCCAAAACAAATGGACAGGGAAATAATTTAAATAACCTAGTGGGTAATGTCTTGGCGCTGAACATCTTATTGCATGTCATCTTATTGAAAGAAGGAGAAACTTTCTCCAGAGTTTGCACGGAGCCCAAAAAGCTGCCGGGCAGACCAAGCAGCCAAACCAACCTTTCGGAGGTAAAATGAAGAACAGTCGACTGCTACTGTCCTCAACCAAAGCATTACTCAAAGTTTGACACCAAAATGAAGTTTGCTGAATGATCACTTGAGGCTATTAACGAAACCAACTCAATCCCAATGGACCTCCATTATCTAAAAAGCCCAATTTTACAGCAGAGTCACAAAAAATGTACAGTTAGTTAAAGTTTTCTCCTCCGGAGTTCATATCCCTGCTGATGCTAAATGACCAATGTGTTGAAACTTGTGTTTTAACAGGTGTGTGTTACATCACCACCTAATAAAAGTAAAAGTGCATTGCAGCCATCATGGACATCAAGATCCCCGTCATCATATAGGCAAGGTGGTCCGATCTTAAATGGGTTTACTTTAGTTTTAAGACATTCGGTCTCTGAGCGTTTTTAAGGTCCGGCGCACATTTGTAATGCTTCATGTTTGTCCGGAGCTCCTCAAGCGTCATTCAGTTAGTATTCTGACTTTTCATTTTTTAAAGTAATCCCAAGCTTCCACTGCTTTTCCTTATTATCTTGGTCCTTTACAGAATGTTTACACACACTTTCTCATACACACACTGCCTTGTCCTCAAACCAGCCTAATTGGAACTTAATTAAGAAAATGGCCACTGTTCTTTAAATGACTACGAGAAGACAGGAGTAAATGACTAATGTCCCTCATTCCTACACGGATTTATGGAAAATCGTAGAGAATCATCATGTGTGAATATTACACACTCTGGGAATCTCTGGGCGTGATGTCTCTTTGTTCCTCCTCTCACCAGGAGAAGAGTTAGTGTTTGATACTCTGACAAGGTTGTTTTAGGCGCCACTTTTAAGTCATTTCACCATAAAACCAACAATGACTCCCTGCAGCCTCTCTGACTCCTGCAGCCACGCAGGAACTTTATTAGATTTGGCAATTAATCATCACTAACTACCCAGACTAATCCTGGATTTATTGGTCAGAATAATATAGAAAATCGATCGTCTCTCACTGATTTTGACCCTGCCACCTCACCATAACTCAGTTGTACAGTGACATCATTGGAGAAAGAAGGTAATGGGCATGCTGTTTTCTGTTTTAGGCCACAGACACTCGTTTATGATGGCTAAAACCAGTGAGTGGCTCCAGTTAGAGACTCGTGTTGACTGGGGTTTGTTGGTTTCACTCGTCTGCATTCGTTTTTATTTATTGTCCCAGAGTAATTCAATCTACGAGAGTGAGTCTGGCCCTTATTATGTAAATTAAATAACCTCGTCTGAAAAGAAACGCAGAGTGAGCCTCAGCAGGACTCAGCACACACACACACACACACACACACACACACACACACACACACACACACACACACACACACACACACACACACACACACACACACACACAACAATAACACAGACACACACACACACACACACACACACACACACACACACACACACACACACACACACACACACACACACACACAAATTAGATGACACAATAAAAGTTTAAAGCGATAAACAGTCAATTTCAAGTAAATGGTCTTTTTGACACTGGGTAAAAGGTTGTTTCTATCTGTGTGTGTGTGTGTGTGTGTGTGTGTGTGTGTGTGTGTGTGTGTGTGTGTGTGTGTGTGTACACATTTAGGGACCTGTATGAGCCCTCAGCTGTCTTTGCTCTGCCTGTAACAGGAAGGTTAGTGTCTGAGTGTGTCACCGGGGGAAATGATCGATAGCTATTAAAATCCACCAGAGCTTCACTCTAGGTGAAGGCCTGAGTGTGTGTGTGTGTGTGTGTGTGTGTGTGTGTGTGTGTTCGTGATCAGGCACTTTGTTTGTACAGGTGGGACACTATAAGCCAGCAATAACCTGTTCCACTCCATTTACCTCTGCAAGCCGAGGAAACCCACCAACCGCACAAGGTGTGTGTTTTTGTTTTAGTATGTCTCTGGCTTCATGTGTGTATTTGTGTTGTTTGTGTGTGCAAGTGTAGCCGGTAGGTTGTCAGCATGTGTTTGTACTTGCTGGTTATTCTAGTCTGGCTTTTCAGAAGCAATAAAAAAAGGTAAAGAGGAGGGGCGGGAGAGTGACAGGACTGAGCGATTGTTTTAAGCTGATTCAGTCTCTGGGGGCTAAAACGGGCGCTAAAAGAAGTAAGAAAGGAAGTTTGTTCTCTCAAGTTAAACTGAGATGAACACAGTATGACTCAAGGTGTGGTGACGTTTTTTTTACTTTAAAAGTATACATGAGGAGGACAAGTGAACATTATCTGGAGAAATGCAGTCTTATGAAATGAGAGATGAGCAAATCGAGTCGCTATTATTTTAGTCTTCTCTGTTACGCATTTGTAAAACCCAATATGTGAACAAGACACACGTGGAGATCATCCTTCCTCACAGCTGTCCCCTGAAGCAGCCATGAAATCTGATCAAAAATCAATACTTAGTGACGCTATCACTGTACGGGATGAGCCTCAGACTTTTGAAGCTTCTATACAAAGTCCTGGAGCTAGGGAGTCACCAGTTATGTTAAACATTAAATCACAAGATCAGGATATAAAAAAACATGTTAAGAGGCAGTAAATAAGCAAGTGAGACATACCTGAATCTAGACTTAGAAAAGAACATTACTTCCAGACAAAATACAAAATACAAAATACAAGCCGGCCTCCAATTGTGCAAGTTCTCCCACTTAAAAAGAGGAGAGAAGCCTGTGATTTTCATCATAGGGTTACCTTAACTATGAGAGACTTATAAATAAATAAATAAATAAATAAATAAATAAATAAATAAATAAATAAATAAATAAAAATCCAGAAACGCACTGTCTAATTTTTTTATTATTTATTTGCAAATTATGGTGTATTAAGTTTTTAGTCAGTAACAAAACTCCATCTCAATACTTTGTTGGCAATCGCAGAGGTCAAATGAGTCTTCACAAGGTTTTCACACACTGTTGCTGGTATTTTGGCCCATTCCCCCATGCAGATCTCAAGAGCAGTGATGTGTTAGGGCTGTTGCTGGGCAACACAGACTTTCAACTCCCTCCAGAGATTTTCTATGATGTTGAGATCTGAAGACTGGCTAGGCCACTCAATGACCTTGAAATGCTTCTTATGAAGCTACTGCTTTGTTACAAAGTCAGCATATTTGGGATCATTTTCATGCTGAAAGACCCAGCCACGTTTCATCTTCAGTGCGCTTGCTGATGGAAAGAGGTTTTCACTCACAATCTGATGATACACAGCCCCATTAATCCTTTCCAGAAAAACAGCTCCAAAGCATGCTGTTTCCACCCCCATGCTTTACAGTAGGTATGGTGCTCTTTGGATGCAACTCAGCATTCTTTTTCCCCCAAACATGACAAGTAAAGCTTTATCAAAATTTTTTATTTTGGTTGCATTTGACCATGTGACATTTTCCCAATCGTCTGCGTCACCCAAATGCTCTCTAACAAACTTCAGATGGGCCTGCACATATACTGGCTTTAGCAGGAGGACAAGTCTGGAACTGCAGTATTTGAGTCCCTGGCGGCATAGTGTGTTCCTGATGGTAGCCTTTTGGGCCATTCCCATCTGTACCGGGTCGGCCCGGGCCGGGTAGCCCCAGTCGGCCCTAGCTTGGCCCGGTTGATTACACACATCCTTGTCTTAAGCCCATGTGGCCTGATTCCACCCACCAATCAGAGGCTTGCTCTAACGGAAGGTGTGAATTTGCTGTCAGCAGTGTGTCTGTTGGCCCTGGTCGGCCTGAAGCAGACCCCCTCGAGAAGAGGGCTGAGAATGAGCCTTGGTTGGCCCGGAAAAATACCAGGCCACCTAGATATGTAAACAACCTACGCTACCCGGCCCGGCCCGGGCCGACCCGGTACAGATGGGAATGGCCCCCAACTCTCTGCAGGTCCTTCACTAGGTCCCCCTGTATAGTTCTGGGATTTTTGATCATCTTTCTTATGATCATTATGACCCCACGGGATGAGATCTTGCATGGAGCCCCTGATTGAGGGAGGTGATCAGTGGTCTTATATGTTTTCCACACTACAAAAAGCTACCTATAAAAACTACCCAATAAAACTGAGGTAGCAATTTACACACAACTTGCTTGGTTAAATTATACCCATATATGTTTGTAAATAGTATCTTATATTCAAAGTTAAGAAATAACTAATGGAATTGGGTAAAAATCTGACACTCATTAGTAAATATTACCCAGTTTTATAAGCTAGAAAATAATAATATAAATTAGGCACACACATAGCTGGGATCAATCCTGCAACCATCCACTTACCGGACCACCTGCTCTACCTTCTGAGCAATATTTCTGCACAATGCAGTACTATAAATAAGAATGTGTTCAACCAAAAGCCAGACAAAAAAAAAAAAGAAGCATATTTTTATGCCATTATTACAGGTAATGAGTGGAGGACAGAGGAGCCTCTTACAGAAGAACAGCATCAGCAGCTACCTCGGACTTCGGGCGGGATTGGAGCCGCCGGTGAGCCGCTCATGGAATTTAATGCAGGACCCAGAGTTTATACCAGCTAACAATGTTTTCAAAGGAGTAACACGGAAACATTCAGATAATCGTAAATGATGCAAAGTAAAGTTACAGTGCTTTGTAGAAAATGATTGTGTTGCCTAGCAACAGCCTTGTCTGAGTCTTTGTTTCGTGTTGGGACTATTTGTGTTGGCGGAGCCTGATAAATGATTAAATTAATGAACAAATCATAACCTGTTGTTGCTTATTGCTGTTATAGAAATAAAATGAGCAGGTAGAACTCTTGTATAAAAGAAATTTCACACTCGAGGTTGTGCGTTGTTGCTGAACATCAGCACTGGTGTGATTCGGCCTCGTGCCGTAGATAATCACACCAGTGCTGATGTTCAGCAACATTGCACAACCTCGAGTGTGATATTGCTTATATATATATATATATATATATATTAGGGGTTGTATGAACTAGTCGACTAGTCGACTTCACGGCTCTGTAGTGACTTTTCATGCCTGTCATCGACTAGTCACTGTCACGTGATAATGACTGACAAGATGCAGTCCTCGGAAAAGACAGCAGGTGATGAGCCCCTGCGTGTCGGGAGGCGGAGGTGACACGCTGTGCCAGAGCGTCGGTACCGGCACCGGCGGTAAAACGGACATTTAACCAAACTGTGACTTTTTCCCTCTTGCAATTTTACCTTCCCCTCACCCCCATCCTAATCTTAACCAGTTTGCGCATGCAAAGCTCTGATCGTTAACGCGCTCCAGACATCTGCATCCTGAGCACCGCCAAATCAGGTGTCACCACCTCAAAAACAAATTAAACACGCGATCGTTCATGTCGGCTCATTTCCTTTAATATTTTCTGTCTGTTATTTGTGCCTGATGCATTTCGCTGCTGCGGAGCGAGGCACATCACCTGTTTTGTCCTCCGGTGACGCACCCCCAAAATTCCACTATCTCCGCTCCCCTCCGGCACGAACTCCGCAGCAAAAACGGTCTCGTTGTAGTCGGCCGGCGAGCAGCGGCACTCCGCTGTTTTTGCGGTCGGTAGATCTTTTAGAACTGCAGTTCAAAGGTAACTCATAAGGTGAATATATATATGAACCCAGGTAGCAGTTTTTCTTTAGGATTGAGAGGAGATGCAGGAAGATAATAAACAGATACGGGACAGAAAAATAGTCAAATAAAAACAAGTTAGTTTTTGTACCTGGTGGTTGCAACAAACAGACACCATTGAAGGTAATCAGAAGTGAGGAACAGAAAATGAAATAATTATTTTAATGTTTAGAGCAGCAGGAACTCCGAGAGGCTGCAGGCGCATCAGTGAGATTGCGACCGCTGCGCGGGGGAGGGGGGAGAGGGCTGAAGTAGGATGCAGAAAGTACCGTCATTAAAAGAGATGTGTTAACTTAGAAAATGTGGGCGCAATTTTAATTGTCAAAAACTCCAGCGAACCTACCAACCCCCCCCCCCCCCCCTTCAGGTGTATGATGTCATCAATGACTAGTCGAAGTCGACTCGATTTTCATTACTTGACTGTCGACTTTAAAAAAAATTAAGTCATGCAACCCCTAATATTTATATATATATATATATATATATATATATATATATATATATATATATATATATATATTGTGGTCAGAAGTTTACATACACTTGTAAAAAATATAATATAATGGCTCTACTGAGTGTCCCGTTATTTCTAAAACTCTGATTTTTCTCTGATAGAGTGATTGGAACAGATACTTCTTTGTCACAAAAACATTCATGAAGTTTGGTTCTTTAATGTCTTTATTATGGGTTAACAGAGAAAAGTGATCACATTTGCTGGGTCACAAATATACATACAGCAGTGCTAATATTTGGTTACATGTCCCTTAGCCATTTTCACTTCAATCAGGCACTTTTGGTAGCCATCCACAAGCTTCTGGCAAGCTTCTGGTTGAATCTTTGACCACTCCTCTTGACAGAATTGATGAAGTTCAGTTAAATTTGATGGCTTTCTGACATGGACTTGTTTCTTCAGCACTGTCCACATGTTTTCAATGGGGTTTAAGTCAGGACTTTGGGAAGGCCATTCTAAAACCCTTATTCTAGCCTGATTTAGCCATTCCTTTACCACTTTTGATGTGTGTTTGGGGTCATTGTCCTGCTGGAACACCCAACTGCGCCCAAGACCCAACCTTCGTACTGATGATTTTAGGTTATGTTGAAGAATGTGAAGGTAATCCTCCTTCTTCATTATCCCATTTACTCTCTGTAAAGCACCAGTTCCATTGGCAGCAAAACAGCCCCACAGCATAATATTCCCACCACCATGCTTGACTGTAGGCATGGTGTTCTTGGGGTTAAAGGCCTCACCTTTTCTCCTCCAAACATATTGCTGGGCATTGTGGCCAAAAAGCTCGATTTTCGTTTTGTCTGACCACAGAACTTTCCTCCAGAAGGTCTTATCTTTGTCCATGTGATCAGCAGCAAACTTCAGTCGAGACTTCAGGTGCCGCTTTTGGAGCAAGGGCTTCCTTCTTGCACGGCAGCCTCTCAGTCCATGGAGATGCAAAACACGTTTGATTGTAGACAATGACACCTGTGTTCCAGCAGCTTCTAATTCTTGGCAGATCTGCTTTTTGGTGATTCTTGGTTCACTCTTTACCCTCCTGACCAATTTTCTCTCAGCAGCAGGTGATAGCTTGCGTTTTCTTCCTGATCTTGGCAGTGAAGAAACAGTGCCATGCACCTTATACTTACAAACAATTGTTTGCACTGTTGCTCTTGGGACCTGCAGCTGCTTTGAAATGGCCCCAAGTGACTTTCCTGACTTGTTCAAGTCAATAATTCGCTTTTTCAGATCCATGCTGAGCTCCTTTGACTTTCCCATTGTAGTGTTTGTGGGCGTTTGTATCCAATGAGCCCTATTTACCTGGCCTAAGAGAAGTCACCAGCTGTAGTCACTCATAATCACTCACAAGAAGTTAAGAGGCCATGCTATGAAGCTCAGTTCACTGACACGTTTCTAAGTCACCTAAAGTGCTAGATCATTTTGCTGTATGTATATTTCTGACCCAGCAAATGTGATCACTTTTCTCTGTTAACCCATAATAAAGACATTAAAGAACCAAACTTCATGAATGTTTTTTGTGACAAAGAAGTATCTGTTCCAATCACTCTATCAGAGAAAAATCAGAGTTTTAGAAATAACGGGACACTCAGTAGAGCCATTATATTATATTTTTTACAAGTGTATGTAAACTTCTGACCACAACTGTATATATATACATACACACACACACACATATATATATATAAATATATATATATATATATGTATATACATATCTATATATATATATATATATATATATATATATATATATATATATATATATATATATATATATATATATATATATATATATATATATATATATATATATATGTATATACATATAGCGGAGCTGGTCAACTGTCTGACAGGAAATGTACCCATCGTCCTGATACAAATTCCCAGAAGTTACGTCTGTATGTGTGTGTATGTGTGTGTGTGTGTGTGTGTGTGTGTGTGTGTGTGTGTGTGTGTGTGTGTGTGTGTGTGTGTGTGTGTGTGTGTGTGTGTGTGTGTGTGTGTGTGTGTGTGTGTGTGTGTGTGTGTGTGTGTGTGTGTGTGTAATTAGTCTTACTAGTCTTAGTCTTACTAATTTGCCATAGTAAGTAAGTATCAGCACTGAATGATCCTAGAATAGATGTAGTGCACTATGTGTCACCCATTATGCTATTAGACCTAATCTAATCACCTCGATGCACTTATAATGAGATTTAATAGTGACACTTGAGACCCCCATAAAGATCCGTTGGAAAGTTTGTGTGCGTGTGTGTGTGTGTGTGTGTGTGTGTGTGTGTGTGTGTGTGTGTGTGTGTGTGTGTGTGTGTGTGTGTGTGTGTGTGTGTGTGCATTTGACCTTCAAGCACAGACCCAGGTCTACATATGGAGACCCAGCTACACTGATTTCTCCCTGATTAGAGTTCTGTGTGTTTGTTGTTGTCCTACATTGGGATGCTAAGAGAACATTTGGACCATGTACTGAGTAAAAATCTAGGCATTGCCAAAACCAAGACTCTGAGTCAGGCTAATAAATGTGGTAGTTTCTGGGGACACAGTTGGGATTGGGATCGACAGTTTAGGCTAAAACTGGGGTTTGAATTATGCCGTCCTGTTGGAGATTTTCTTTGTGTGTGAAAGAAAAAGCTGCACAAGCCAATTGACGGATTATTGAGAAGCTGTGACTCTGATTTCACTTTAATTCATCGTCTCTCTGCATGCATGTGCGTGTGTGTGTGTGTGTGTGTGTGTGTGTGTAAGTTTGTGTAGGTGTGTGTGATCTGTTTAACACAGCATCAACAATAAAACTCTAAAGTACCTTTTTTTTACTGCTCTCTGCTTTTCTTCTACATAATATATTTTCCACTGTCAGTCCACATTCTTTTCTCTGGGTGTTTCCTCTCCCTATCTCGACTCTCGTGTTAGGGATTTGCTAATAAAGATGCGGGCTGTCCTGTTGCCATGCCGACCAAGCAACAAATATTTGGAGCTATGTGGCACCTTCCACCAACATTCCATGATTGGCTGTTTTGGAAAGTTCTCCTGTCAGTCATCTTTTTCTCTCCTCTGTTTCTATCCAGCATTCAGCTTAACCCCTCCGCCCCTCCGCTACCCTTTGCTGTCTCACCCTTTTCTCCTCTCCCTCTTGCTGTAAAAATAGTCTCTTCGTCCTCCAGCGAAATAAACTTGAAAACAGTTGGAACAAGTGATGTTGTTTAACAGCAGAAACATACACTGTCACTGGGCACCCACATGGAAAAGGAGGTTGCTTTTTATTTTTTAAAGGACTCCAAATAGCGCAAGAGTGTTCACTTAGAAGGACAGTACTTTAAAACGTCTAGAAAAAAGTGAGTTTAACTTCATAAAAACGAAGCAATCTAGGAATTAAAATCATGGAAAAAAACAGAATCCAAGAGCAAGGAGTATAAATACTGAGAAAGGTTATGAGCTGATGAAAAACAGGTGAGTAGAGATGTGATGGGATTCATTCATTCATTCGTTCGTTCGTTCGTTCATTCATTCATTCATTCATTCATTCATTCATTCATTCACCTTTAGATAAAACTTATTGAGATCAGAACCTCTTTTATGAGGGTGACCTTGCCAAAAATAGCAGCAACAAATTATTCACAA